TGTGGGCTTGATGGTTGTGAGCCTCCAACTGAATCCCAGTCCTTTGCAAGAGCAGCCAGTGCTTTGAACTGCTTAGCCAGTTGCTGATTAACTCTAGTCCATTACTAATTAAAAAAAAAAAAACAAAAAACAAAACTTCAAAATGTAAAGGGTAAAACTAAATGAAACAACAAACATGGTCCATGTAAATAAAGCAAAAACACAATTCTGAGCAGGGCCCTTCCCTCATCCCTGATTCTGCAGTACTAGGTGTGAGGGAGGGGGGAGGTGATGACACTTAGCTCACAACTATAGTAGCAAAGTGAGTTTCAAAGAAAATACAAATTAAAAAGCCACAGGAAAAAGTGATTCTGTAAATGGGATTATATTGGTGGTTCCAGCAAACTCTGTCCTCTGATTGCATGTCTTTCGTTTTGTCTTTTGTCTGGGGATTCCCCATCTGTTTCCCTCTGTTCCCTCCCATGTTCCTTGCCCCTCATTCTCCTCACCTGGTCCTTACTTCCCAGCTCACCCTCCTCTATTTCTCTCAGGCTCTTCTCAGAGTCTGATCTCAACCCTCTTTACCCAGTTGCTCAGTTTGCACTGATGGCCTCCTAAAGAGCCAGAACCTAGTTAACCATGGCCCTCCTCCCAAAAGGCTCCCTTAGGCCAAAGGAATGCTTGGTAAGGTCCCTGTTGGGGCACAGGGTGTGTGTTATCTATCAGTGGAAGTCCCCAGAGCAAGAATTGCAATATGGGCCGGAGAACAGCAGCCCCTCCCAGTCTTTATCTCCACGAAGACCCCAGGCATTCTGGCAACCTTGGCAGTCCATTAGTCCAGGACTCCAGAGTGTCTAAGGATATTGGTTTTTCTGTGTGGGAGAGTCCCTCTAGCTGTCCTGCTTGGGCAGGAGACTGAAGACAAAAGCTATGCTAGGTCTGTGAGGTCTCTAAGCCTGTATCCTTTTTTTGGGGGGAGGGGAACTCCCTTGCCCTATGTCAAAGGTCTGCCTTTGTTTCTGCCTCATGAAGTCCAGAGACTTGTTTTTGTTTCTACTTCTCAGTTATAGACAAACAAATGATTTTTGAGTGTGGATAACAGTTTTAAATTTTTTCATATGCTCTTTTAGCAGGTCAGGAGATGGAATCTAACCTGCTTATTTCACTCCTAAACATAAATTCTGTTTGTAGTCATGCTAAGTACAATGAAATTCATTTACAGATTTCAAGCTTGGAGGAAGAGTACAATTTATAGCTCTCTTTATATAGTCTTCTGTGTATGTTGTTCAAGTTAAGCCTAAAGTAAATCTAAACAACTTTAAAGTAAACTTAAAATTTGTTTAATGTGAAATAATATAAAGAAACCTGAGTTTTGAGCATGCCTTTAATCCCAGCACTCAGGAGGCAGAGACAGGCAAATCACTGAGTTTGAGGCTAGCCTGGTCTACAGACCAGAGTTCTAAGACAGCCAGGGCTACATAGAGAAACCCTGTCTTGAAAAATCATAAAAACAACAACAATAACAAACAACCCTGGTTTTTGAAAACTAATTGAGTAAATTGGGTTAAATTTACAATACACTTACATGGCAGGACACCCCTAGTGTCACACAGTACCCTTTCTCTCAGATGAGACATAAACCCCATCAGAGTAAATGGAATGGTAGCTTCATTTTACAAGATAAATATGTAAGGGAAGTAAGATTTGCCAGAAGTCTGCTGCTCATAGTCTGTGTATGCCAGGCCAGGCAAACCTCTTAATCATATAAAAGATGAACTACAGGGATGGAGAGATGATTCGGCAGTTAAGAGAACTGGATGCTAAGTCTGTATTTTTAACCATTTATCCAAGGCTGCATATGTGTGATTATCTTTTACATCTGTACCCTGTATCATGTCAGTATGTAATAAAGAGAGATGATTGTTTTTTCAGATAAGCTTGAAAAATTGACAGACATTTGTTTTTAATAGGTAACAAAATTTCCTATATAAATAGACATTTGAAATTAAGAGAGAGAGAGAGAGAGAGAGAACTGGATGCTATTTCACAGGACCCAAGTTCAATTCTCAGTACCACCATGGTAAATTACAACTGTCTGTTAACTCCAGTTCCAGGGAATCCAACATCCTCACACAGAGATAACACACAGGTAAAACACCAATGCACATAAAAAATTAATAACAAAAATAAAGTTGTTTTAAAAAAGATGGAATTATTCCTCTCACACGACAGGGAATGGATTCTCTTGCCCATTGGATGATCTGAGCATCTTAATTCACATCCTCAATTTCTCAAACAATAGAGAGGCAAATAGCAACTGCTCTGCCCTTAATGTCTCTCACTCAAACTGACATTTGAGTTTGTGGTAAATGGGGAAACCTTGTACCTGCCATCTACTGGTATGGGACCTGCACACTAGTTCAGCTGGCCATGCCCTTTACCCTGGCTTCTAATTCCTCTCCTAATATTGGCCATGTTTCCTATAGAGCTGCCTCCAAAGGCTTCCCGAGAGTGGTCTCTGGTACAAACTTTGATTAGCTTTGTTTCATCTAAAAAATAAGTAACTTAAAAAAAATTATCTGATTTCTTTAATGAGCTAGGCCTGACTAACTATCCAATACAGTTGGCCCTTATAAATGATAAATAAAAAAGGACAATAATTCCTGGTTCCATAGTTGGTTTAATTGGAATCCATGCTAAGACGTGAGTACAGGCTCATTGGTCCTTGCATCTTTGTGCTGGGTGTAATAACGACTCTGCTTAACTAACTGTTTCTCAGTACCTGCTCCTTCATAAAAGTCAAGTATTTGAAAATAACTAAAAGAAATGAGGAGTGAAGTTACTAAGGTAGCATCATTTTGCCCTGATTTTAACCTGACTCCATTTTGTGTCTGCTTGGGCAGTTTCCAGCCATCACCAGATCTGAGCAGTCATGTCCACCTTGGCAGCACATTTGGGACTTTCCATGCTTCAGATGCAAAACCAAAATATCTGAATATATCCTCAACATAAATGCCGACAGGTTCCCCTGACCTATACCTGACAAGGTCACTGTAGTTTCTCTTTAGAAACGCTGTACCCTGAGATTTGGTGCTGAGAGTTTCTTTGGGGTAGGAGTCTGCTCTTAGTCTCTGGCTTAAAGGGCTGTAATCTGACCCTGTATGTGTGGTGGTCTGTAACTTTTCACCTGCACTACAACAGTAACAATATACCAATAGGATAATCACTGTAATGTGCCCAAATAAAACAGAAATGGATTGCTTATTTTTTTTAAGCCCTGGCTCTCCTGTGCTTAATTTAAGACTTTGCCCATAAAAATAATATTGTCAACACTCAAGAATATGAAGACTAACTTAGGAAGAATAAATAGATGAATTGATCAATCATTCAATACACAGCAGACCATGTACTAGGCTTCTTTGATTGCTCTCTGGAGCAAAAGTGAACACATAGGGATGGTAGCTCAAAGCCGTCAAGATTCTGAAGTATCGGCCAGAGATACACTGAAAAACATTATCTTGGAGAAACAAAACAAACATAAAGACTGAAGGGTCTGGAACTTCATCTTTTTATCATTTGTGGTAGCTTCTGAGACTTTAAGGGGTTAAAAATGTTCCTTTTAGGACTATTACCAAGAATAAGATAAAAATTATTCCAAATTTAATATGGGATAGGATCTTTTGTCTTCTATAAATTGCAACTTTCTTCTAGGAAGACATTTGTCTCTGACAAAACAAAATGTTCTTTTGACAAACCTAAATTTCCCGGGAAAATTAATTCCTTCCTCATCCAGTTAGCAGTCAAGAATTTAGTAACCTTTAAATAGCATCATTCTTTTTATCAATATATTTTCCTCTCTGTACATGTTTCAATTTAAAGAAAAGCTGGAGTTGGCTTTTCTCTTGCAGCTACTATAATTAAACTTTGACATGTGTCCATAACTCAATGCCAATTATTATTATTATAACTAAGGCAAGGCTGTAATTCCAACAGAGCCAGTTTTGTACAAAGGAGAGCCCCAAAGGACCTGGTGATGGTGGCTTCAATAGTAAAAGGGGAACATCCTTATCTCTACTGTTTGGAAGAAAAGGGGAGCCCCAGCGGAGAGCGCACCCAGAGACTGGTGGTAGGTTGGGAATGCCTACAAGCCTGGTTATGAGGTTGGTTGAGTGGAGGCAGAGGAAGGTATTGGATGATAAATTTGAGGACGGAACACAAAACTGACGGGTTGATGAAGTGCGCTGGAGTTCGGTTTTGCTTGCTTCTCTTCATCAGATTATGTTTACTACTCAGAAAATATCACCTTTGAATGGCTTAGAAGATGCCATTTAAATGTCGCTTTTTTCTTCTCACTTCGATCTGGGACAAATCAGTACGAAACTCGCTTACAGACAACTTTGAAAATAAAAAAATCAAACAAGGTTTTTCTATAACTAGCCTGTCCAGGTGTCTTCACCCCACCTAGAACCTCTAACCTCTGCTGGGACCCGGTCCCTCTGCCCCTCCTTTCCTGTCCCGCGGTCCTCTTTGCTCATTAACCCTGTTTTCTCTGTCTTACACATTCGACATTCGACAACGACACACGCACGTGTCCTTTGAAGTCTGGCCTGTCATATTTATATGCCTTTACTAAGTCACACGCGACCTCTTGGCTTCACTTTGCACCCCGAGAACGGTGTCTTGGCTAGTCACACTGCGCAGTACACAAGTCCACTCCCGTCCCTCGCACCCGGACAAACAGCTGGCTCGGAGAAGCGCACGTCACGGTAGCCGGCGCCCGCCCGCAGCTTCCGGGCGCGCCGTTCCCCCAGCCATCCCGCGAGCTCCGGGGAGGGGACCCCTGAAGGGCCTCCGGGGCTGGGCTGAGGGGACGACGAAGGTGCCTCCCGGCTCCGGAGGGCCCCGGGCGCGGTAGCGTAGCTGGCCGCCACCGAGCCAGCGCCACGTCAGGCCGACCTCACAGAGCCGGCGCGGGCGGTGACGCAGCGGCGCGTCGGCTCTGACGTCATCCCCGCAGGCCGTCCGTAGCCCGGCGCCCGGCTCGGTGACGCCCCGGCGCCCGGCCGGCCCTCAGGGAGGCGGACCCCGCGGCCCGCGCCTCGCGCCTCGCCCGGAGTCGGGCCAGACTGGGCGGTGTCAGCGGAGGCCCTCGTCAGGCGCGTCCGCCGCGCGACACCCGGGCAGCCGCGGCGCTGACGGGAGCGGCACCGGGAGGTCCGCCATGGAGACCCGCTACAACCTGAAGAGCCCGGGTGAGCCCCGCTGGGGCGGCGAGCGGGCGGGCGGGGCGGCGGAGGCCCTGGAGTCCCGGAGCGTCGCCTCGGCCGGCTCGTGTCCGCCGGCCCTCGCGGCTGCTCCGGGTTCGTGCTTTACTCGAGGCCGCTGCGGGTCCCGGGGTGCAGGCCGCAGGGCGGGGCGGCAGCTGCGGAGCCGCAGACCTGCTGTCGCCCCTTAGCTCCCGGCCTCTCCTTCCAGACTCCGCGGCGGACTGTCTCAGTCATGTCAAGGGCAGGTGTAAAGGTGACGTCAGCGTGCAGTACTGAACACCCCCTGGCTGTACCGGCATCCGTAGTACCCCCTGCGTCGCTGCCGACTAACTTTTGTTAGGTGTTTGACTCATTTGAGGGGTCTGTGGTTGAAATACCCCTTCTCAGTATTTGGAGGCGAATAACGAAAATGTCCTCTAATTAAGCTAGTTGAGCTGTGTACTTGAGAATTAACCACGATTTTGGGGGGGTGGGGTGAACTGCCAACGAGTCTGAATTGACGAAGATAATTTCTTCCCTTCATTTAATGTCCCTGACAATCCCGGCCTCCAGTTATTTTCTGCAAAAAAAAAAAAGAAACCCCACAATCAGTTGTCTAATACTAAGGCAAGTGTGACACGAATTACTGGATTCTATAAATGGTATTTATTCTAAATGCCCCTTGATAATTTGTCAGAAGAAACTTCCTGTTAGCTTTGAACAATAAACCCTATAGTATTGATGGTCTTCAAACTAAAACTCTTGCCGCTGTTTTTGTTGTTTTTCTTTCCTACACTGTTTCTTTTAAGACTAACATCCATATGGGATTTTGTTTAAAAAAAAATAGAGAATATAGAAATGCAGAGCCCAAGGATATTGACTGAACAGAATGTTTTTGGCTTGAAAACTGTCAAGTAAGTGTCCCTAGGTGACTGCATGCAGAAGCTGTCATATTTTAGGAGATTCATTTAAAAATTGGCCATGCCTGTGCAAGAATGACATTTACACAGCTGGATTTTAATGGGACCACATTCTCTAATTCTTCAGGTTTTAAGTGATGGGCTGAAGACAGAGTCAGAGAAAGTAGAAATGCTTGAGTTTTACCATTTTGATGCCAGAGTGGTTGAATTAGTTGAACTTGAAAAACAAAAGTGTGTGGTAAATGTACAGTGCTTCATTAGTCACATGGTTGTGCCATATCACCACAGGTACTTGGGCCAATGTCCAGAGAATAATGCCTCATGAAATGTTGTCAGGAAATTGCTTAATCTTATTTTTAAAAAACAATATCTTTATTTCTTACTGACTAATTCAAGCTTCTATAAGGGTTAACCCTCTTGCTCCCTTATGTAGGCTAGGTAGTCCTTAAACTTACTCATACCTGGTCAATACTGTCATTGCCTTGTAATATTTTTCCAAGTCTTCTAATTGCTATAAACTTGTTGTGGCAGGAAGTTAGCCATTTTCTCTCTCCACCCATTCTTCAAATGTGTTTTGCTTTAATTTTTAAAGTTATTTTTATGTGTAGGAATGTTTTGCCTGAATATGTCTGTGCTCTATGTATGTATGTCTGGTGCCCATTGAGGCAAGAAGATGGCATTGGACATCCTGGAACTGGATTGTAATCCATGTGGGTGCTAGGAATCAAACCTGGGTCCACTAGAAGATCAGCCAGTGCTCCTGCCTGCTGATCATCTCTCCAGCTCTCTGTTTTGTCTTGTTTTTAGTTTTTAGCAGTTATTTAACTAGTGTGTGTATAGGCACCACAACACTCAAATGGAGATCAGAGGACATATCACTGGAATTAGTTCTCTCCTTCCATCTTGTGGGACTCAGAAAGCAAACTCATATTTGGCAAGTGCCTTTACCTACTGAGCATCTCTCTGGCACATCTTCAAAATATTTTTTTTAAAGTAAATACCTTTGCAGTATCTTTGTAAGCAGAAACATTAGTTCTTAAACTTTTGCTGATGCCTTCATTCTGAGAACAGGAAGAGGCAGTTGGGAGCATCGTTTAGAGTTTACATTTTTAATGTACCCTACCTCCTGAAATTCACCTTATCTTGGGAACTGAAAATCTTAACATAGGGACTTTCCAAGAGGAATTGATATTTGGAAGACAGTGACCTACAAAAGGTCCCTTTATTTTTATGTTTTTGGTCCTAAATTTCGTGTAAGTAAAGTGAACTAGCTGGGCAAAAGAAGCAGGCAAATGCTGGGGCCCATGGAGCCTAAAGTCTTGATCCAGAGAGACCAAATGGCCTCCATAAAAGTAAGACTTAAGATTAAGAGTTGGATGCAGCTGTCATTCCCTTCATTGACTGATGTTCCCTATAGTCAGAGAACTCTGCAAAGAGAGAGGAGCAGGGGTTGAAGCAAGTGATGGGCTATCAGGAGGAACAGGCTGCTCTAACACTAATTGCCTGGCTGCATCTTGTACTTTGACATTCCATAAAGACACATCTCTTTAGGAATCAATACTTTTATGTGGCTTTAAAACAGGAATGTTATGGTTAATTTCTGTCTTACTTTTCTTTTGCTGTGATAAAATGCTCTGACAAAAGCAACTTCGAGGAGATTGGGTTTATTTTTGGCCTAGTTCAGGGACACAGTTCATTATAGTGGGGACATCATGGCAGCAGGAACTTGAGGCTGTAGTCACATTGCATCTAAAGTCTAAATGCAGAAGTAATGAATACTTACTCTCTGCTCACTTTCTCCATTTTACACACACACACACACACACACACACACACACACAAGTCCAGGATCCTAGCTTAGGGAATATTGCCATTCACAGTGGGTGGGTCTTTCCACTTTAACAATCAGAGCAAGTAATCTCCCAGTTTATCCCCCAGGTGATTCTATATTTCACCAAATTGATAGTTGAAAATCACCGTCTAATATTGGGTTGTCAGCCCGACAATATCTGGAATACCTTGGAGATGGAACTCTGAGCATTTCCTGTGAGTGATTGTATAAATTAGGTTAACCTTGACTGCGGGAGGCACCATTCCATGGTCTAGTGTTCTGGATTGATATAAAAAGGAAATATGAGCTGAGTTCTAGCACTCATCTCTGTTTCCTGACTGTGGATGTAGTGTACCCAGCCAGCTGCTGCATGATTTCCCTACCACAAAGAACTGTGCATTGTGAACGAGGATAAACTCTTCTTTAAATTGCTTTTGCCAGGGATTTTATTATAGCAGCAGGAAAAGTGATACAAGAGGACTCCAGTCCATTTCCTTAAAGTTATTATACTTGTATTGACTGGTTTTATGTCAACTTGACAGAAGCAAGAGTCATCAGACAGGAAAGAGCCTCAATTGAGAAAATGCCTTCATGCGATCCAGCTGTAAGGCATTTTCTTAACTAGTGATCAGTTTGGTGGGGGGGGGACAGATGGTGGTGAGTGATACCATGGCTGGGCTGGTGGTCCTGTGTTCTGTAAGGAAGCAGGTGGAGCAGGCCAATAAGCAGCACTCCTCCATGGCCTCTGCATCAGCCCCTGCCTCCAAGAACTGCCTTTGAGTTCTTGCCCTGACTTTCTTTGGTGATGAACAGCAATGTGGAAGTGTACATTCAGTAAACCCTTTCCTCCTCAACTTGCTTTTTAGTTATGGTGTTTCATTGCAGCAATATAAACCCTAACTGAGATGTTACTATTAGCATCATTATTAGTATTATTATTGTGTGTGCAGCAAGGTGAATGTGTGGAGGTCAGAGGACACCCTTCCTGAATCAGTTCTTGCTTCCGTTTTGTTGATGTGGACTCTTTCTTGCTGTTTCTGCTGTGTACTGTAGTTGACTTGCATGTTTCTTGGTGTTTTTCTTGTCTCCACCTTGTCTTATCACAGTAGTGCTGGGTACATGAATCTTGGGATTGAACTAAGATGTGCTGAGTCATTCTAACAGCCGTCAGTTCCTCTCCATGGGCCTTTCCACACTGACCTTTTCAACCAAAACAGATACATATTGTTTATTTTTCATATCAGGGTTCTCATTAAGCTTTTCTTTGAATAAAGACTTTTGTCTTGTCAAGTTCATTTAAAAACCAGTCACAGTTCAGATTCTTTGGAAGAAAAATGATGGAAGACTTTAACATTCATTCATCATATTTGCATACTTTCTGTTCTAAGCTCTGAGGATGCCACAGTGAAGCAGAGCCTTTAAATACTTAGCAGAAAAGACAGGGGTTAAACAGATACTGCAGGGACAGTTGTTTTGCTGCAGCTTCTGAAGGCGATGAAACATGAACCACAAAACTCAACATGAGCCAACTGGGAACAGAGATGGAAGGGGGAAGGGAAAAGATGTAAAGAGACACAGACATAGGACAGGAGAGGAGAGAGAGACAGGAAAAGTCTGGTCTGCCCCAGGGGAACAGGAGAGAGAGGAGCAGGAAAGAGAAAAAAGCAGAAAGAGATAAGCCACTGGGGTCTTTCTCTAAACAGGTCCTTTGCACCTCCATGGAACCCTGGGCTGACCAGGGTACTGCCTGAGCTCATTCTGCCAGGTGACAGGGGCAGACCAGCATAATACCTGCATCCTTACAACAGTGTGATAAGAACACATCGCAGGAGACTCAAGCTGGTCCCATGGGCAGGCATTTACCAATGTGACTGGCCATTAGGATCATTTGAAGAGGCATTCTAGTCTCTGTCCTATCTCAGAAACTTTACTTTCATTTGCCCAGATGAGAATTTCTAGTCCCTTTGAGGAAGGACAGCTAAATATCAAGTGGATTTTCCTGAAGAAGATACTTAGAGGCCAGACATGGTGATGTGTGCCTTTAATCCCAGTGCTTGGAAGGCAGAGGCAAGTGAGTTCTAGTGAATTCTCTGAGAGTTTCAGTTCAGCCAAGCTTGCATAGTGAGACCCTGTCTCAAAAAAACAGCCAAAGTGAAACAAGGTCACAGTAACAAAAGACATTGCTTAAGTGTGGGAGCTAGTCTTGATGGTGATGAGTACCAGAACAGCTTTGCATGTTGAGGAGACACTAAGGAGGTCTGGAATAGAGAGAAGGTGGGTGTGTTTGAGAACTGAACAAAGTTGAGTGCCTGGAATTTGGAAAGAGATGTTGTGTCAAATGTGTATGTTTCTAATACAGATGTTTTCACATTGAGTTAATAATACTGACTGCCTTTCGGTTCTAAGCTCCTTGATGACCCAGAATTTTATGATTGTAGCTGTTACATCTAGTTCCTAGTAAGTACTTGAAGTATTTGATAAGTGGATAAATTCTCGACTACAAGGGTTCACTTTAGAGTAGGAGATGGAAAAGAATATTGACAATTATGAAGTAGAATAGTGACTCAAGAATTTAGTTTTTGTTGCTTGAAATAGTCTTGCTGTGTGGCCCAGGCTGGCCTCAAATTTGAAATCTTTCTGTCTTGACCTCCTGAATTCAGGGGTTAAGGTATGTGTCATCACTCTTGGATAGGAACTTAAAGTCTAGATTTAAAAGAAATTCTAGACTCAAATGAAATAGTCTGAAAAGCAGAAGCAGACTGATCCGGTTGTCAGTGTGGGAGTTGCTTCTCATTAATGTGTGTCTACCACACTCTGACCTATCCTGTGTATGGGTCCCTTTATCTCCTCTACCTGTTCCTACTCATCTATAGAGCTACCTGCTTTTTCTTTGCTTGTTTTTAAAGCTACCTGATTTTCTTTCAAGGGCAGGCACCTGACCTCTGCTTTCTTCTATCTGTTGTCTGTAGGCCAGGCTGGCCTCGAACTCACTGAGACTCACCTGCCTCTACCACCTGAGTGCTGAGATTAAAGGCAAGCCATACCACACTTGACTAGAAAGGTTATTAGCCTGTGCTGATCACTTGGAAAAGTATGTTTTTAAATATCTCCGTGTTGTGGATTTTCTTTTAGCTGTTAAACGATTGATGAAAGAAGCGGCAGAACTGAAAGATCCAACAGATCATTACCACGCCCAGCCTCTGGAGGTCAGTTTCTGACGTTGCAGTGCTTCAGGGTCTTGAGACAGCTCAGAACTACACTTCCATTGCTCTGAGTTGTTGATGCCTTTGAGGTTGCTTATTGATCTGCTTTATTCTGTTTCGGGAGTGTTTCATTAGCCTTTTGTCTGGCTCCTCAGGCAGCCCGACTTAAGAACTAACTTGGTGTTCAGTGTGGAGGGGGGAGGGAGAGAGGGAGGGAGGGAACTAGAAAGAACCCCATGCACTATACTGTTAAGACTCAGACCCTTCAGCGGTCTCTGCAGCCATCCTAGGCTTTGACACAAGCATCTCTACCTGTCTCTGGCTGTGAAAGGAGGATGCTGACTGTGCATATCAGGTTCTCATGCTAATAGTGAAGAAATAATATGATGTGTAAGAACTTTGCAATTTGAAAACTAACTTGGTAACTGTATAGTGACATATAGCCAGTCTGTTAATATTACTAACTAGTTATACATAGTGAAGTTATTCATAATGAAATTTATGCTAATGATTTGACTATTTCGACTAATTGATATTTTTGAGGCATTAATTTCCAATTTAATTAAATGAATCTTATTTATAAATATATAATAGGACTTACACATTTTAATTTTAAATTTTAGATCAAATTAAGTATTTAAAATATTTCAGCTTTTATGAAACAAAATTTATGTTAAATAGCACCTTTTTATGAATGACTTTGAGGAATTTTGAACATGAGACATTTTATAGCACTATTAGGTAGCATTTCATTTTTCTCACCTGACACTTGTAATGCTACTATTTATTAATAAAAATGATAATTCTTGTTTTTGTTTAGGATAACCTTTTTGAATGGCACTTCACAGTTAGAGGGCCCCCAGATTCCGATTTTGATGGAGGAGTTTATCATGGACGAATAGTGCTGCCACCAGAGTACCCCATGAAACCACCAAGCATTATTCTGTTAACAGTAAGAGCTCTTGGCTTTTTACAGTGCTTTCAGGTTAACTTCTCCAGCTCTCTACAAATGTAGTCAGCATATTTATAAGAAATGAAATAGAATATCATTCTTATTTTGCCTTCAGAGCCTAGGCCATAGAAGTGCAATATTTTCCCCTCAGAATAATTCCAAGGAAGCTGATGCATCTATGAAGCACTGGTGATGTTATTGGATACATAAATGTCATAGCACAGTTGTTAGGATTCAGTGAGTTAATGTGTGAGGAGAGCTAGGCATGCTGCCTGGCACGTAGTCATACTGTGAGTACAGCTCAGAACCACATCTTGTCCACTCTTCTGTCCATTTCATATTACTTTCTTCACTTTCCTCATATTTGCAGTGAACCTAAATGTCTGTCTCAGCAAGTTGACATGGAAATGAAAGATCAGTATCCTGTAATAGCTCTTAGAATAGGGCCTGCCACAGAAACCTTAATAAATGATGTCTTTTGTTTATATCTTAGCATTTCTACCTTCATGTGAAAGGAGACTATTGATATATTAACACTCTTTATTGCTAAACTTTCCTACCCTCACTTGTGTTTAATTTTATCCTAACCCAGAAAAGTGAAACACACACACACACACACACAGAACTTTTGTTTTTGATAACCTTACTCTTGTGTAGGCTATTACAGTACAGTTTCACAAGTGTTCTCTGTTGAAACATGCTTTTTCTACTTATCTGAGAACTGCCATGGCTTCTCAGTCTTCAATTCATTCTGTTCCATCTGTCATCTTATCTGACTCACCGGGTAGCACTCTGACAGGTGTTATCCAGAACAGCAGACTGGTGCAGCTGCAGCTGTCCTCTGGCACATGCAGAAGGTGTTTGTTTGGGATCATCTGTTCAGTGCTCCTAGCAGTGCTCTTTTCATCTTACCGCCTGCTGGTTATATATTGTCTTTGAAATTTAGTTTTGTTTCTCTCTAATGGAGTGTCGCTTGTGGCAAATACAGCCATATCCTAAAGTTTCTGGCATCTAGAAGCTGCTTAACAAGCACTGGATGTTACTGCTAATTGTTGCTTTTGGTATGATGGCAGGGGCAGCCCTTCAGGCTCCCATGCCAGGACTCATTTCAGTTAACTGGGGGGAAGGGGCTGGTGTATGTGCACGCTTAGGGTGTGTGGGTGTGTGCGTGAATGCGCACACGTGCATGCCTTGCTCAGTAGGCAGCTGCTCTTTACCAGTAGTTAACCAGTGGATCAGTTGGATTTACCGCACTGAAAAGCAGTTCTCCCCTCCTCAGTAGTCAGTATTACCTTCTTGTTCACTTCCTTTTAAAAAAGTCACTTCCACTGGGCAGTGGTAGTGCTGACCTTTAATCCCAGTACTGGGGAGGCAGAGGCAGGCAGATCTCTGTGAGTTCAAGGCCAGCCTGGTCTACAGAGTGAGTTCCAGGACAGGCTTCAAAGAGGAATACAGAGAAACCCTGTCTTGGAAAAAAAAAGAGGTCACTTTCCATTGTGATTCAGCAGATGTTTAATGAACATGACCCAGGCATGATGATGAGCCAGGACTGAGTCAGTCTCCACCCACCCAGTGCAGTGTTGCTTCTGCTTAGTGCCTTTCCTTTACCTTCTTCCTCAACATTGTGGCTACTTCACCTGCTTAGGATCACAGCTGCTTTTTATCTGCATGAAATAACTTCAGTGGGTACTTCTGAAAGGAGAGGTGCCAAGAGTCTGTTAACCTTTAATGACATCAGCATGCTTCTACTTCTGCCTTCCTATTAGAGGTCATTGGTAGCTTTCCTATCTAGCCGTCAGATCCATGTCCAAACCAAAGTAATGGTCATTGCTCTTCTAATTTAATGGCATCAACCTTCTGAAAAAATGCTCCTGTCTCAAGTCTCCTGCAGCTAGTCAGGTGACTTTTGTCTCTTATGTGTCTTCTCTTTATGCAAAGTTAGGCACAGGACATAGCATCAGTAAACCTTTACACAATAATTATTTAGATTCTAGTTGTGCTGCTCAGTCTCAGAAAGGTGCTAATATACCTTCTAAAAACAGCTTTTATTATTTGTTTAGTATTTAACAAATATTTTTGAATGTTTATAAGATGACAAAAAAACTATTCCCTTAGAGTTAAATTCTTTTAAATATCTTTAAAATTATTTATATATAAATATGATACATATTTGTTATTGGAAAGCAGGTGTTAAATAGACTTTTGGCAGCTTTTGAAATGTGTTCTTTCTTTCTAAGGCTAATGGACGATTTGAAGTAGGCAAGAAGATCTGCCTAAGCATCTCAGGGCACCATCCTGAAACTTGGCAGCCTTCATGGAGCAGTGAGTATTAGTGAACACAAGCTCCCATCATTTTGTTCAGCTCATAATAATGAATTATAATACATTCTTCATAAAGATGTTGTGGTTAATATGTGGTACCATTGGAAAATTAACAAAAACACTTTTCCATGTCTAGGTTTGTACAGTACTTTAATAACCTCTCACTTGCATCTCCTGAAAACCTTCAGATCTTTTTTTTTTTTTTTCCAGAATAAAACTAGTTCCCTTTAAAATTTGTGTGTGTGTGTGTACCCTCACACAGATGTGTATGGAGGCCAGCAGTTGTTGCAGGGTATCTTCCTTAATTCCCTTCTGCCCTATTTTTTGAGGCAAGGTCTCTCACTGAACCTGGAGCTTCCACATTTTGTTGATGTTCAGGCAAGCCCCAGGAAGCCTCTCGTCTCTACTTCCCAAGAAAGGGCTAGAGTATACACTGATGGGTCTACCTGCTCTTTTTTTCCCTTTCTTACAACAAACACACAGGGAGTGTGAGTGCCAGAGATCAAGCCTGGGTCCCTGTGCTTGTGCTGCACTGCTGAGCTCCTACCCACCTCTTAACTCCCGCTTCTCTCACTGAATTGACATTCATTTTCTGTTTCAGTAAGGACAGCATTGCTGGCCATCATTGGTTTTATGCCAACTAAAGGAGAGGGAGCCATAGGTTCTCTAGATTACACACCAGAGGAGAGAAGAGCACTTGCCAAAAAGTAAGTTCCTTGTTAGGGCTGAGTGGTATTGGTGGTTAATGGTGTTAGGTCTCTTTCTCTACAGTCACCTTGGCTAAGGATCCAGCCTTAACATTATAGAAATACAGTTCTGCCAATTTCCTTGGAGTGATCAGAATATAAAAAATTGATCTCATGATTTTTTTATAGTATTAATGGATCAGTACCAAGGTTTCACCCCATGTCAGGCAGGTAATCTTCTACTAAATTGTGTTACTAACCCAACTTTTTCATTCTTTTAAAATTAATTGATGGGCTGGAGAGATGGTTCAGTTAGCACTGGCTGCTCTTTTAGAGGACCCACATTATGGCTCATAATGGTCTGTAACTCTAGCTCTACAAGATCCAATTACCTTCCTTTTCTGCTCTCTGTGGGTACAAGAACACAGACATATATGCAGGCAAAATCCATACACATAATAATAATTAAAAAATAAAGTAGTATATTTGGTTTACTCCAGTGGGAGACATACCTTCTAGAAAGCATTACTGGCCCTTTTGTCCCATTTCGGATGGTATTTATATGTAGCTGTAAGATATTTTCCTGGGGCTTGTAAAGGAACCCACTCTATCTTTTTGGAACTTATATAGCATATATCAGATATTAAATAAATGATCTGTGATAAAATAAAGGACATTTTTATTAGGTAGTGATGGGGGATATTGCCTTTTCTTAGGGTTTTTTTTTTCCCCTTTTCTTTTTTGGTGTATTTTTATCTATATAATTGTAATAATTCATTCAATTCAAATACCATTTCCTTTCTGTCTATTCTGGAACTCACTATATAGACCAGGCTGGCCTGGAACTCATGGAGATCTTTCTGCCTCTGCCATAAATTCTATCTTTAATCAACTTCTTTCCTATTGTATATATTTCTACCAAGAGATAATTGGAGTTTTATGTTAGACATTTTCACAGACTTTGAATAGGCTCATGATCTGTGTTCTTCAGGATAGTATCACAGAGTGTAATAGACAATTTACATAAATATGTTGCCACTGTAGATCTGATGCTTATCTTTCTTTAGATAAATTATCTTTTAAAATGAAACCTAAGCCGGTTTTTTAATGAACACTTGTCTCACAGCCTGTAGGGACTGTATTATGAAGTTTATAAGTGTTCTTTTCTTTTAGTTATTCCATATTTGAGTATCTTTAAATATTTAAAAACAAAGATTTGTTTATTTTTGTTTTATATTTATGGGTGTCTTGCCTACATGCATGTGTGTCTGTGCATTGTGTGTGTGGTACCTGTGAAGGCTGGAGAGGGCATTGGGTCCCTGGAACTCTAGTTATAGATGGTTGTGAGCTGCTATGTGGTTGCTGAGAATGGAACCTCGGTCTTCTGGAAGAGCACTCAGTGCTCTTAAGTGCTAAACCATCTCTCTACCTGCTGTTTGAGTATTATAATAAGAGGGTATTAGTGCTCATTGAATAACATTGTTTCCTTCCAGATCACAAGATTTCTGTTGTGAAGGCTGTGGCTCTGCCATGAAGGATGTCCTATTACCTTTAAAATCTGGAAGTGATTCAAGCCAGGCTGACCAAGAAGCCAAAGAGCTGGCTAGACAAATTAGTTTTAAGGTACTATAAACTCCTAAACAGATCCGGTTATGTACTTTGTTTACTGCTGAATCATAGATAAATAGGAAAGTAAGTACTTCTATTGACAAGAGATTTTATAAATGTTTTCTAAATACAAAAGGTATAAGTCAGACTCATGCAGGCATTTGGGCATAGCAGTTAAAGCTATACTGGAGTATAAGACTGCATTCAGGTCTCAGCTTTGCTGTTTACTGGCTGACATGTCAGATATAGTACATTACTATCATGTGTCCCTTTACTCCTACAAATAATAATAGTACTTCCCTATCAGACTTTGACAGGATATGTTAACACATACACCACAAGTATAGTTGCATTTAAAGGTATTCTTAGAGCTTAATAAATTCTAGTTTCCTTCCTTTCTTTCTTCCTTTTCTCTTTTTCCCTTTTTTACTTTTCTCTTATACATTACATCCCGACCACAGTTTTCCTTCCCTCCACTCCTCTCAGTTGCTCCCCAACCCCTGCTCTCCCCCAGATCCATTCCTCCTCTATTTTCCTTCAGAAAAGAGCAGGCCTTTCAGGATACCAGCTGAACACATAATAAGAAACAGTAAGACTAGACATAAACCCCTCATATCAAGGCTGGGTGAGACAACCTAGTAGGAAGAAAAGGGTCTCAAGAGCAGGCAAAAGAGTCAGAGATACCCCCCTCCCACTTCCACTTTAGGAGTCCCACAAGAACACCAAGCTATACAACCATAAGATGCATGTAGAGATCCTGGCTTAGACCCTTGCAGGCTCTGAGATTGTTGCTTCAGTCTCTGTGAGCCTCTGTGAGCCCTGCTTGGTTGATTCTGTGGGCTGTGTTCTTATGGTGTCCTCAACCTCTCTGGCTCCTACAGTCCTTCCTCCCTCTCTTCTGAGGGTTCCCTGAGCTCCAACTAATGTTTGGCTGTGGGTCTCTGCATCTGCTCCCATCAGTTGCTGAATGAAGCGTCTCTGATAATTATTGGGTTAAGCCCAATCTGTGAGTATGGCAGAATATTGTTAGGAATCGTTTCATTGACTTTTATTTTTGCCAGTCCTATCTGGTTCTATCCTAGGTCTCTGGGCTATCCAGCCTCTGGTTCCTGGCTATCCAGGCAGTGTCAGGGATGGGCTGCTTCTTGTAGGCCTCAAGTTGGGACAGTCATTGGTTGGCTACTCCCACAAGTTTAGCACCACCATTAGCCCAGCACATCTTGCAGCCAGAACAAATTGTATGTGGAAGGTTTTGTGGCTATATTGATGTCCCAATTGCACCATAGCAGCCTTACCTGGTTATGGAGATGGCCAGTTCAGGCTCTGTATTCCCCATTACTAGGAGTCCTGAATAGGGTCACCCTCATGAATTCCAGGAAGTTTTCATTGCATTAGGTTTCCACCTCACCCCAGAAATGCCCTCTAGCTCCACTTGTCTCTCCCAGTACTCTTCTGCCTCCACAACCCCTGTCCCCATCCACCCACAGCATCTACCATACTTCTGGTTCTTTTGGAACAAAGCAGGTAACCTCACCTCCAAGAATAACTGCTGTTAATATGTCAGCATATCTTCCCTTTACTTCTCCTTCCTGCATCTTTTACCCAAATATAAAACTTATATAATATCTTAATACTTTAAGTAAGCACACCCATGTCTCTGGAATTTAATTACCCTGTATTAAGTAGTGTGCTGCCTTCTCCCTCTTACCTGCTTTTCTCACCTCTGTCTGTGCCCCTGGTCCAAGTCTTGGGATTTTTTTTCCCTTATGTTTTATAGTAGTTCCTAGAAGAGGAAGTATAAAATTCTTTTTTTGGATTCCCACTATACCTAAAATTTTCAGATTTTAAGATCAGATTTGAGGAAATACATACAGCTTATTTGAGTTACTCTGTAAAGTCAGTCAGCTTGGGACTGTTTACTATTGTTGGAGAAAGCCCAAGCTAGTCTCACATAATTCCGTCAGATTTTATCTAAAAGTCATCCCAGAGCCTTAGTTGCAGAGATTCTTGGAACTGTAGATTGTGAGCTGTAGTTGTCCTTTAGCAGGGAGCAGCTCTCTGAGAGTACAGACTCTCCCAGTCATACCTGGCATAGAGCAGATGTGAATATGCTCAAAGCTAACTGACTGATAGTACATACGAAAGGAGCAGTGAGGGTACATCAGGAGGGGATTAGTCGATTGTTAATACATCTTTTCTTATAACACTGCTCTTGGATGTATCTTATTTATAGGCTGAAGTCAATTCATCTGGAAAGACTGTCGCCGAATCAGACTTAAACCACTCTTTTTCACTAAATGATTCACAAGATGATTTACCTACAACATTCCAGGGTGCTACAGCCGGCACATCGGTATGGCTCTTAACTTTTAATACACACCCACACCATCCCTCCACTACGCATACTACACACACACCACAGACACCCACACACCACACCCACCACACGTGACACCCCCCCACACACTTACTCCACATACACACACATCCCACCCCCCACATCTACACATACACACATCCTGCACACACACACAAATACACACTATTGTTTGGAGTAAGGTAAGATCCTCCTAGATCAAATACTGAAAATTTTTTTTCTTAGTAGAATTTTAGCCCAGCTACCTTACTAATTATGTTGTTTTGAACAAATCTCTCTTGGCTTTAGGTTTTTTTTTTTTTCTTTTTGTTTTTTTTTTTTTGTTAACTGGGGTTGGATGAAATAGTTTCTAAGTCCTGTTGTCATTTCAGAATGCTATGACTTCTTTAAAGTTAGTGTTAACATAGTGCTAACATAAATAAAACATGAATAGTTACAACCCTCTAATAGATACTAGGTACTGACTTGATAATTCCCTGAGCTGCAAACTTGCCTTGGAGTAGTTCTACATAGTACTTTAGTCACACATGGTTACGTAAGTTTAAACTCAATGAAGATTTAGTGAAGTTAGCAGTGTTGCCCCTCAGGCATACTAGCCATGTTCTAGGCACTCGTAGCATATGCCTGGCAGCTCCGTTTAGAAGCATAGACACAGAACTTAAACTCCTCTAAGCAGCCCTATTGAATGCTGCCTTGTGTGGAGTAAGTGGCCAGGAATTGTTAGATGAAAGAATAAGTATGTCTTATGGTAGAGATAGCTCTGCTTTGACCCATTGCTTCAAAAAGTGGGTCAGCACAGGTGATCAAATATTACAGGTTAAAAATATTACTGGATTTGTGCTAAAAATGAGGATTATGAAGGAAAAGTACCTTGATTTAACATGTATATGTGATGAACTTACCTCTTTTGGAGTCAATTTTATTACAGATTATTTGTCTAGGTAACCACATCTTGTGTTTCCCCCTCTGGTTTGTAGAAGACGTTTATTGATTTATTGAGGCAGTTATGCACATGCCACCATGTATGTGTAGAGGGCAGAGGACATCTTGTGGGAATCAGTTCTCTCCTACCATGTGGAACCTGGCACTGAACTGAGGTCATGAGGCTTGGCAGCAAGTACCTCAATGCACTGAGCCATCTCATTGGCCCTATAGAACTTCAAGGTCAGAAACTTGAAAAAGAATAATCTACTGTAAAGTAGTACTAAGTTTTTCTGTGTGGTTTTCTTCCAGGAAGTAAGATGGGCACATCGGGATGCTTTAAATCTACTGTCAGGTGTCTTAGTACATATTCCTGTCACACTTATTTTAGTTGTCGTTTTGTCGTCAGTTGTCTGGTTTACTGCTTTTATATAGTAAGTGGTCTAGAAAAATTACCCAATGGTAGCTTATGTTCCTCAGTCTATCCGTTTCCTGATCCCAGGGAATGAAGTTTGATAAACCATTCTATTTTGTATTAAAAAGCATTCCAGAGTTGGTAGGTAAAGCATTCCAGGCCCAGTGGATAAAGGCATTTGCTACACAATCTGGCAGCCTGAGTTCAGTCCCTGGAACCCACATTAAGGTGGGAAGGACCGACTTCACACGGTTGTCCTCTGACTTCCACAAGTGTGACAGCAGCACCTGCCCCCTCATATCATGTGCATGTGTACCACGGTAAATACATAAATAAGTAATGAACATTTCAAAGGTTCTATTCAATATAAAATTCAAACAATATGTATTCTAAGTTAGTATGGAAAAATTAGTGTATATTGCTAGGCACATAATTATGACTATAATTATTTAGATAGGAAAAATTTATTTTAGCATTTCATAACATTTCATCAGTATTTAGCCAATGTTTACTGCCCAAAAGGTAGCTGAAATATAGAAACCTAAATAAAACAGTATATAAGCATTTTTGTTAAAGCACATGTACTAAAATATTGGGCATCAGTTAATTAATTTTGTAGTAACAGCGATTAAACCTACTGTCTTATGTACTGGTGTGCTATTAGTGGTCTTGCTATGTAGTTCGAGTTAGCCTTGAATTTGCCAATCCTGCCTCAGCCTCCAAGTGCTGAGATCACAGCATTTTTTAGGGATTGTTTTCTAAATATATTAATCACACTAATAAGAAGGTAAATTTACAACTGAGTTTTTGAACCTAACTCTGAATGCCTCCAAAAGGATATGTTAATAGTAACAATATTAGTAGTGAGTAACATTTACTAAGTAATTGTGTATCATAAGCACTTTATAGTATTAATCCATTTAATCCTCACAACTGCTGAATTGGACATTATCACCATTGTGCAGATGGGAGCTGAGACCTAGGTTAAATAACTGGCAAAGCCAGACTAGAACTGATAAAGGCTCGTTGTTTTGTTAGTTTTATGGGCAAGATAATCTCCCCTTTAGTATGAGTCAATCTCTTAAACTATAGTGATAATGTCATCATTTTTCCCCTTAAGGATCTGTTCCTAATCTCTGTGAGTTTGAGACCAGCCTGGTATACATGAGCTAGTTCCAGGACAGCCTTCAAAGCCACAGAGAAACCCTGTCTAAAAACAAAAACAAAAAAACAAAACAAAACAAAAAAAAAAAAAAAAAAAAAAAAAAAAGAACCTGTTCCTTGTACCTTGCTGGGATTGGTGCATCAGGGAGGCTGAGGCAAGAGGATCACATGTTCAAGGCCAGTTGGGTTACCAGATATTTGTTCTCTTTAAGCCTCAGCCCTTGAGCTTCTAAATACATTTATGCTCTTAGCTGAGCATTAGAAGGATGCAGAAGTTAGACTGTAGTGTTTCTGTATTGACTGCTCTTAACTCAGTTCATTCATTGACTATTGGTTCCCTTACTGTATGGCATTTGTGAAGACATGTCACCATACAACATTGTGTATTATGTATCTGCACTCTTCAATGGGCAGATTGTCCCTTGGAATCCTAGATTGCACAAGTCTGATTCTGCAGCTCTTAATTCAACATTGGTACTAAACTTACCAGTAGTTTATTTTTTTTTTTATAACTCTGTATTATGGGTTAACTACATTTAAGAAACTCCAAAGAGTAATTTTAAGAAATTCAAATTATGTAAAATTTTTTCTTATGCTAGGGATCAAACCCAGGTTTTTGTGGATGCTGAGAAAGTACTCTGCCACTAGAGGGGCAGCCCTATACCTTTGTTTTTTGAGATGGGTAGTCTTGCTTGGTATGTAGCCCAAGCTGGCCTTGAATTCAGCATCTTCCTGTCTTCCTGAGTGCTGCTATTACAGGTGGGAGATCCCACACCCGGCTAGCATCTGGTAATGTGTCAGTCTTCAAGTGGAGATTCACAAGTAGCTCAGACCAGCAGGTTCCCCTCATGTTTAGAGCTGTTGCCAGCACAAAGTTTATACCCTTAATGATTAAAACAATTTGGGTTGTATTATTTGATTCTTTTAAGTGTTTATGTTATAGAAAGTGTTTGAAGCATCTTGAATTTATTCATATTATCCTGAGTAAAACATTCATTCCTATTTCTTGTCTGAAAGTGTGAGTTTGTCTGGTGGTAACAGTACTTGGTGAAAGCAGTAAAAAGGCCATTGATGCAGTCGAGGCAGGTTAAGGAGGCTGAGTGTAGTCCTACATTGTGTGGCTTCTTTGAATGTGCTAGTACCAGTTTTATTATCTCTGAGGCAAACTTGAGATTTTGAAACCCTTGTGTCACAATATGATTGTCCCCTGAATGAACAGTCATTTAGGAAACTGGAAGATGCCACCATCCAGTGCTTTGGGGGGGGGGGCAGCCATACCCAGGGCACTCTTGACATCAAATACCCAGCACTGCTTTGTAAAAGATGCTTTTGGACTTGTGTTAGCTCACTTGTCTGGGCTTATGAAAAGGATAAGCTGAGTTTGAAAACAGCACATTTTTACAATAGCAATATGGAAATTTGTGTTTTAAAATTATTTTCTTACTATGGTTGACGGAAGTATGTTGACAAGTTAAGGTAATATGGAAGAGGTCAGGTTCACCGAAGGTATATGGCTTGGAGTTAAACATTCTTTCTACTATTTGCAATGGGTAATTTTCAAGTTGAAAGTAGAGAACAGATTGTTTCTTTCCTTGGATCTTCTGAAAGGAAGAGCAGAGCCCAGATGCTTGGTAGAAACTGCTGTTGCATCCACCATTGGAGAGAAACAGCTGCAGTGCCTGTGTCTGCTGATAATCAGGCTTCTCCACCTCATGAGTGCTCAGGATAACTCTACTCAATCAGGGTTGGTGCCTAGTCTCAACATTCATATGGGTCTTGGTACAGTTACCTTAGTCATATTTAATACTCTATTAACAAGCACATATACAAAATGGCTTTTATTGTTGTTTGTTTTTTTGTTTGGTCTTTTTTTTTTTTTTTTTTTTTTTCAATTTCAAACAGATTTTCTTATTATTCCCTAGTATGGAGCCCAGAATCCATCTGGAGCACCCTTGCCACAACCTACCCAACCAGCTCCTAAGAATACCTCCATGAGCCCTCGACAGCGCCGGGCCCAGCAGCAGAGTCAGAGAAGGTCCTCCACTTCCCCCGATGTGCTCCAAGGCCAGCAGCCAAGAGCCAACAATACTGAGCACGGCGGGTCTGCCATGCTCATCGTCATCCTCACTTTGGCATTGGCAGCTCTTATATTCCGACGGATATATCTGGCCAATGAGTACATATTTGACTTTGAGTTATAATGCTGGTTTGTGACATAAGAGCTGAGACTCAGTTGCTTCATTAAACATTCTGCATTGGGTATAACCTAAGGATTGTTTACAAAAAGATTATTTTATATTTACCCTTCATTACTTTTTTATCGTTATAAATTCATTGTGCTGTAGATAGACATTCAGGCTGTGATTCAACAGTTTGTCCTGCTTTTAGATTAAGGGACTGGAAGCCATAGTTCCTTGTCTTACTATTTAATCTATTTCACAAACAAGTAACTTATTGTGGTTGCTCAGACCCAAGCTGCTTTTCCATAGATTTTTTTCAATGCTTTTCTATGTAGTCCTTTGGGAGTTTTCAGATAAAAGGTGGTGTTTTCACACCAGAGTATTATTGGTAACTCAGTGTCACTGAGTACTATCTCTAGGTATGTAGACTGAGAGGTAATAAAGAATGGCAGAGGGAGGGCAAATTGCTCACCAGCTTCTTGAAAAGTGTCATTTATAGAAGAGAGACTGGGATTGCCCATTCTGTGATCTTTGTATTTGAAACTTTGTTCAGTGACAATAATTTTATTTCAGACATTTATAAAGGTCTTTGTTATATTTTTGTTTTGGGATATTACTTGAAGAGGAAGACTTTGTAGCCACTTTGATATGCTGTTATCACCTCCAATATGCACATAAATGAGAAGCAAACAGGCTTTTATAACCTTGTCTTACAGAAGAAAGGGTCCATGCCAAGAAATAGTTTGATTTTCTTTCACAAGTCAGGTGAGGAGATCATAAACTTTTAATCTTTGCTCTACTTTCATTTGTATATGGTTTGAATTATTTATGTTTTATGCTCAGCTTTGTAATCACCATAGCTTTTAGTTATTCTAGGAATACACATAATCAAATTTTAATAGAAAAACTCAGGGCCTAAGTAACAGTGGTAGAGAGATTAAAAACAAACTTTTATTTAGAATTGTTCACTTACCAAGCCCAAGGAAGATTTCAATGAAAATTTTATCTGTCTTTTAGTGCCAGCCAGTCCCCCAGATGCTGACATCCAATTTTGTCATCACAGTGCCTAGTGAGACCACTTAAGGCAATATTATTGTCTTCAGCATGTTCCTTCAGCAACCTCAAGGGAATTCTTGAGGGCCCTGTATTACTAGGCAGTCCCTAGCTTTTTAAATGTATCATGCTCTCAAAGCCCATTTATAAGCGTTTTTTTTTTTTTTTTTTTTTTTTTTTTTTTAAGACAACTGAATATAAATGGTTTTTGGATTCTAGGCCATTCCACAAGGTTAATTAGCTCATATGTATTTTAAGTATGTGTGAGAGGGTAGTTGTAAGTCCACATGTGTTTTTAACTAAATATAATTATGGGCAAGATAGAACAGCTCACAAAATCATTTTAAAGGTGAGTTTAATTTTCACTATTATGTGATTTGGGGTCTGTTAAACATTGAACATACTTTCCAGTTTTATTTGGTAGGTTGTATCCACATCTAAAATTTAAAAAGGCACTATATACTATAATATAATCTTATAGTTTAATAGATTAGCATTTTATAGTTACTCAGATTATTTATGTCTATATATGAAATTGGTAAAGTATAAAAAGCCCAAGAACTTTGTCATGACTTCATGTCAGGAAGACTGTAGGTTACCATTTTTTAATTTTCTTGACATGAAAAAATATATTCTGAAGCCTTAGTTTATAATACCGGATATGAAAAACATGGGGTCAGTGGGGTCTCCCAATAGGAGAGAAACCCTACACCATCACCCTGTGCTGAGATGGGTCATATCCCAGTCAGACTGGTAGCTTTGGAGCTCTGTCATCTTGCTGCATCTTCCGTGGGCACCTGTGCTGAGCACTAGGTTGTTCTGTGACCTCATCCACTCTTCCCTCACTGTCACTAACTGGCTACCTCCTTATGTGTGTTGGCATTTGTTTAGCATCTGATAGACACATCAAAGTGGTACATTTTGCTTTTTCCCTTATATGCTATGTAAAAATTGTCTTCTTACCGGCACCTTGGAGCCAGTGAGCTCACTGAAGGGCCTCTATTGTTAAAGCCTGAGTTTAGCCCCTTAATCCTAGCATAAGGCCCAAACCATGTAGAAGCTGGTAGGTAAAGTCTTAGGGTCCCCATTTCTCCAGTTCTCAGATTTCAAGGCTTTGTCACTGACCAGCATAGCATATGGCTATGCATCAAGGTAGTTAAAATAGCATGCTTGAAAAATATGCCTGTTTTGCTTGTAGCAATCTAAGCCCATGAGCTTTTCAAATCTTCTGTACATGGGGGAGGGGGGATGTATGTAGCACTTTACATTTCCATGCTGCTGATTGTTTTATTCTACTGAAATAAATGATTTCATCAAGCTTCTCAGTGAATTAAAAAACATAAGTTATTTATTGGTTTTACTATGAAAATGGCAAATTCCCCTATTTCAGGAGAATAAGAACTCTGTTTATTCAGCTTGGTTTATGAGGAAACCTTGTGTAATCTACACTTCACACATCTGTTCTTATGGGCACCTAGGGTGAAGTACTCTGTTACCCACAAATGAGTGTATCAAGTGAACACATAGTGACCCTGACAGTTGTGTGACTTTTCCTGAGGCCATGAGAACAAACATCTATTCTCCTCAAACAGGGCACTTCCCCCAGACCACAAAACATCTACCCAAGATGATGATAGTGAACAGTGAGTGCATTGGGGTTACTCACAGGAGTGAATTAAAGGCAGTGTCATCAAGGAAAAGCCTACCTCAGCTTGGGTGACGTCTCAGGGAACAGCATCCCTGGAGCACCTTGCAAGACTGACAGGCAGCTCAGCTGATTGGAGTCTCACCAAGCACTTGCTGCTTCTGTGACCTTGGGATGGGCCTTGTGAATCTTGCTTCAGGAGCTTCCTAACCCTTGCAGGTTTCCTTTACTCCCTGAGTCTTCTAAAGACCCCCCTCCTCTCTCTCCATTCTTCTTTCAAGAGTGTTTTGATTGGAAGGAAATAGCTATACTACACCAACTCACCAAGAGTAGTGAATACATACCAGAACCAGTGAAACTGGCAGGAAGCCATTCAAGCCCAAAAGCTGTCTGAATACCTTTGGACAGGTGTTTTCAGAATTTGTTTGAACTGCCCAATAAAACCAGTGACTATGCTCATACCTTGTTTTTGACCAAAGGTTGTGTTCTTTGCCATCTAATCTTACCTCTTGTCCATATTCCTTTGAGTACCATGTCTGCATCTTTCCTCTTCTCTCTGTGCTTTTTGCCACTGCTTTCATTAGCCACTTTCTAACTTGTGCAGTTACTTCTGGTTCTCTTCCAGTCTCATGCCATTCTTTATAAACAGCCAGTCTTCATTCCATACACCTGCTTCTGCCTCTATCGTTGCCTAAACCCTATGGAAGCCATACTACTATGCATGTCCTGCTTCAGCTAATGCTGCTGGAGCCTCTCAGTCTCTGGATTCAGGCACACGGACTTTGACCCCTCTGTCTTCAAGTGAGCCAGCATTCCAAGCTAAACTGTTCATAGCCTATGCCAAAAACAAAAATTAAGTCAAAGGTGATTACAGACTTAAATATAAGATCTATAGCTAGTGGCAAACACCTGAAATGCCAGCACTGGACAGGCAGAAGCAGGAGGATTTGGAGTTCAAGACCAACTTGAGCTACATACCCAAACCCCATATCAAAACAGCAGCTACAACTAAAACCCATATAGAAGAAACTGTTTGTCACCTTGGGTTCAACTATAAGTTCAAAAGCACGAGGAACCAAAGAAAGGGATGCTATAATTCACTGAAATAAACTGTGTGTGTGTGTGTGTGTGTGTGGTTTTTTTTTTTTTGAAGAACCTCTATTAAGGGGCTGGAGAGATGGCTCAGAGGTTAAGAGCACTGGCTGCTCTTCCAGAGAACCTCTATTAAGAAAGTAATAGCTGGATTCCCAAGCAGTCTAAGGGACCTCAGACAGTGGAACCAGGATGTATCCCTGGTGCACAAATGACCTTGCAAACACATCCCCCATGGAGGGATAACTGCCTTAACCTAGAGACAGGAGAGAAGTCCTAGTCCCTCCTTCACATGACCTGTTAGATCTACATGACCCCACCTGGATGGCATTGCCCTACACGTGGGGGGGATGGGAGGGGAGGGTGGTCAGGGTGCATGTGAGGGGGCAGAGAGGGTAAAAAGGAGGGATGGAGGGAAGGAGAGGGAACTGGGATCGACATGTAAAATAATAAAAAAAAGTAAAAAAAAAAATAAAGTAATAGCTGGGCTTGGTGACATATGTCTCACTCAGGAGGCAGGTGGATTGTTTTGAGCTCCAGGCAGCCCAGTCCTTATAGACAGTTCTAGGCTAGCTAGGGCTGTATAGTGAGTTCCTGTCTCAAAATAAATTCTAAAAAAAAAAGACAATACTAAAAAAGAACTTGATTTAAAAATGATAACAGATTAGAAGCTGGGCATGGTGGCACATGTCTGTAATCCCAGGATAAGGGAAATAAAGGCAGGAGGATCAGGAGTTCAAAGTCCTTGGCTACCTAATGAGTTTAAAACTAGCCTGAGCTATATGAGACACTATGGTAAAACAACAAAACATAAAGCAAAAAACGGACAACAGATTTGAATAGACATTTTTGCAAAGGTATATGAATGGCCTGTGTGCATATAAAGAGAAGCTTTATATCATTAGCTATTGGGAAATAGCTAATCAAACCATACTGAGATACCACTTCACAAGTACAGCTAGGGTGCTCATAACTAGACTATAAACTCCACATAAGTCATAGTGCAACCTGTGGTTCTAGCATTTGGGAAACTTTTTATTCCTTTTCTATCAAGGTGGCTACCCCACCAAGGGTCAGTATTCCATAAACCTCCCACATCTTGTGAACTCTTGTTACATGCCTGTTTGCCCAGCTCCTGGACATTCCTGAGACTTGAGTATCACATCTTTCTCCATTGTGCCAATTATGAATTAGCCAGCTGTGTCAGGTTGTGAGATTGAGCTCCCAACAATGGGATGAAACACAGTTACCACCTACATTAGAAAAAAATGCCAGAGCAGAAGCATGGAAGGACCAGCTG